CATTTCCATGTTTGGAGACTCTGCGTCTTGAATCAATGAAGAGCTTAGAGCAATGGGCACATCCAGTTCCTGGAAGACACAGCTTTCCTCGCCTTCGAGATTTGTATGTAACTGATTGCCCTATGTTGATCGAAATACCAATCATACCCTCCTTGAAAACATTACGAATCCATGGATGCAACGTTACATTGCTGATGTCTGTTAGGAATTTGGCTTCTCTCACCTACCTTAATATTAGCTCAATTCCCAATTTGATGCTTCTTCCCGATGGATTGTTGCAAAACCACACACTCCTGGAGGAATTACATATTTCTGCTATGGCAAATCTGCAATCCTTGTCAAATCAGATATTAGATAACCTTTCTGCTCTTAAACGCTTGGACATCAGCAGCTGTTCTGAACTTGGAAGCTTGCCAATGAATGGGTTGCGTGGCTTATCTTCTCTTCGTGTCTTAGGGATTCAAAATTGCGATGGATTTGAGTCTCTATCTGAGGGAGTGCAATATCTGACGGCACTAGAGGATTTGCTTCTTACCATATGTCCGAAGCTGAATTCATTGCCAGAGAGTATCCAACATCTCACTTCTCTACAATCTCTAAAAATATGGCGTTGCTGGGGATTATCTTCTCTGCCAGATCAGATTGGATTCCTCACGTCTCTTTCACGCTTGGAGATTTGGGATTGCCCTAATTTGATGTCTTTGCCGGATGGGGTACAGAGCCTCCATACGCTTAGAGAGTTAGATATTAGAAGCTGTCAAAATCTAGAGAGGAGGTGTGAGAAAGAGAGAGGAGAGGACTGGCCTAAGATAGCTCACATCCCTAACATTCAGATAAAAAGTAAAATAAGGGATGAACGATAATAGCAATTGGGCTTTTTGGGTGTAAAAATTTCACTGTAATTTTCTTCCCTGTATTCTTTTCTTTTTCTGAAATTATTAATACGTGCTTCTCCTTTCTTTGCTTAGTGGTGTAAATTGCAACAAAAAGACCACTTGGATCATGTGATACTATTAACTTGTACTTGCAATTCTGCATGATGCAGTCATTAGCTGTTCTGTACTTGTTTCTATAACTCATAATATCTTAATTTTTAAGGATATCTACACGAATGATCTAGCTATTGTTTTGGTTTAGCTCGAATACTTCCAATTTCTGTGCAATTCATTTCCCCGAGAATCTTCTACTGCAGTGCCTATTTGTGTCAATAACTATCGCCATCTGATCATCCTTTACTACTCGTGTTAGGTAGTATGCTTTTTTAGAGATTGTGATGTTTATTGTGTTTATATTATCAGGCATGGAAGATATTGTTGATAGGAAGCAACCTGTGAAGCATTCAGATGAAGTTGACAAGAGATTAATGGCAGTAGATGGTTTTCATTTTCATTTCTGTTCGAATGTTCTCTCAAAAGATATATTTATGAAATATGTAACAAAACGGATCGTCTCATTAATTTAATTACTCATAGAGGTTCTCATTCAGTGTTTTTTTACTTATTTTTTCTTGATCGACTGCAATCCAATTACTATAGGCCATAGGGAGTTCAATATCAAGCTCGTTGCCCCTGGTTTTCCTAGTTCATAGAAAGGAAAATCGCACAATCTTTTTGGTTTACCCAACTGAGAGTTGAACGGTTCTAAAAAGGGGGGAAAACATGATAAACATCAATACCTTTTTAATAATTTTTATGCAATTTCAAAGGCAAAACCATTCATAGCAAAAGCCAACATAACAACCCTTGTAATCTCAATTGAATTTGCTATGAAATTACAAACGGACAAATCCTATTGGAAGGCTGGATTCAACTAAAACTAGAAGAAAACCCGGATCAATGTCCACATAATCTCAAACATCATAACCAAGCTCTCCTGACGTTGAAAGCTCTCTTGAAGACAGAGGATGGCCTAAAAAAACCTGCAGTCGCCATCCTTGTTGTGATCATTGAACAATTTGACAGTATTTGATCAGCTTGTGGATATCGATGATTCTCGTACTACATATGTGTTGCTAATATGTGATGATTACCAGCTATTGCCATCCTAAGTCCCATTGTCAACTGCAAATGTTTTAAAATTCAGAATTTTGCTTGACTGCCTTCCAATGAAGAATCCCTTTCCTTACACTTCCTGCTACGCATTCTTTACCTCTTCCTCATAGCAATTCCCATCATCCAAGAACTATAGAGTTGTAGACAACTTCCACCTATTGGCAAACTACAATTCCTTAAAGTTCTTCATTTAATTGGAATGAATGCTGTGAAGTGTGATGGAAGTGACTTGTATGGAGATGGGGAAACTCCATTCCCATCTTTGGAGAGGCTCAGTTTTTATTCAATGAGGAGCTTAGAGAATGGACAACTATCGGGCGAAGACAAATCTTTCCTCATCTTTGTGAATTAGTTGTAGATAATTGCCCTAAGCTAGCTGAATTGCCATGTATAGTCTCCGTCATCAGATCAAAATTGGGATAGGCAGTGTTACATCGCTGAGGTCAGTTATGAATTTCACTTCCCTGGGCGCCCTTCATATTTCTTCTTTCAATGACTTGATGCGTCTTCCTGATGGATTGTTCCAAAACCATACACTCCTTGAAAGCTTGAAAATCAAAGAGCTTAGAAGTATAAAATCGCTGTCAAATCAGCTATATAGTCTATCTTCTCTTAACTGCTTGGAGATTTTGCATTGTGATGAATTTGAAAGCTTGCCAGAAGGTCCTCATTACCTCCATTCTTTGGAGAGATTGAAGATAGAGCACCGTAGGAGATTTAAAACAATGGATTGTGTGGTTTATCTTCTTTTCATTCTTCATCCATTCAAAATTGTGAGAAATTTGCTTCTCTATCTGACAGCGCTGGAGGATGTGTCTCTTGGCGCATGTCCAGAGCTGAATTCCTTGCCAGAGAGTATCCAGCACCTCATTTCTCTCCGATCTCTAACTATCTGTCGTTGAGAGGGATTATCTTCTCCGCCAAAGCAATGAGGATCTTTCAGCTCCCTCTCACTCTTGGAGATTAGCTGCTGCAATAATTTGATGTTTTTGCCAGATGGGGTAAAGAGTCCTAATATGATCAGAGAGTTGAAAATTAAAGATTGTCCAAAGCTGGAGAAGCGGTGCAAGAAAAAGACAGAAGAGGGAGAGGACTGGCCAAAAATAGCCCACATCCCATACATTGAAATCAATGAAGAAGTAATTCATTCCTCGGAGAGATGACGATGATGGGATTTGTCATTGCAAGGTAATGATCTTCCCCCATATATTTGGTGAAATTATGACATATATGCCTTGGTTTCCTTTCCTTGCCTTGTTAATTTGCAAGAATGAGTCAGCCTCAGACCTTGAGGGACAACTAAATTTTGCTATGGCAGGTCCATGATTCAGCATACATGCAATTCTACATGATGCAGCATTTGGTTTCCCTGTTCTAGTTTGATTTATGGCAATAAATGGTCATCCCTATCCGGTCCCCTCAGAGATCCTATCAAGTAATATCCTAGTATATTTCATATCTTGACATTGTTATTGTATTTCTGCAATCAACTTCTGATTCTTTTTATTGTTTCATTGGGTCAGAGAAGGTGGATACAATGTTCTAAACTTATCTTTCTTTACCAGTTGATGAGCTGCGCAGGATAGAACATTGTCAAATTCTGTCCAGCATAAACTTGCAGCAGTGTAACTTGCTTTTAGAGCTGATTCTATCTTTTGCATGCAAGCTGATGGAAGATTCATTTCATTGATTGGATTACTCTAGTCAGTCTCCATGAGTCAAAAACTTCAAAGATTGTCTCTTAACGAAGTGAAGGTAAAGTAGCAAATAAGTAGCAAAAAGGGTAAAGATTCAAAGTTTTGTTTTTTTAAAAAAAAAAAAAAACAAAAACAAAAACAAAAACAATTTAGACTCGGGAGGCAAGTTAGGTCCAACTTTCCATTAAAAAAATATGTGATTTATTGCATTATTAGTTTTCGATTATTCGTTACCGAAGGATTATTTATTATTCAACATAAAACAATATATATATTGAAATATAGTTAAATTGTCATCCCTATTTGGGTTTTAAAAGACATTCAGACAAGGATGAGATGTTGAGTTTCTTACAAAAGGAGGGACTATATAGTAATTATGCTAAGAACACAGAAATTAAATTATAATTTATTTCTTAAGATATTAGTTGGTAAAGGCAATCATATAAATTTCATGATTAAACTATTTTCCACATGACCATCACGAAGCTACTATACTATTTTAATTACATATTAAAAAAAATGCTTTGTTAATTAGACGGTTGATTTACTTGATATTATTTACCTCTCGCCACTGGAATTTAAGTAAATTTGTTTAGTGGTATTTATTGAATAAAACTAAACTCATCAATTTACTTTATCCAAATAAACATTTAATTGAATAAAAAAATCACTTCTAATTTACTTTATCCAAATAAAAAATTAATACAATAAAAAATCACTTCTAATTTTCCATAAATAAACCTTATTTTGATTTTTTTTGAAAAAAATCTTCCATGTCAACCCAAACTTTTCTTGAATGAACAAATTTAATAGGAGATAGCAATAAATGTGGAACAATGTTCAAGGTGGAGAGGTCTGGAATCCCTAAAGTTTGAGATAATTTACATTTTAGTCCTTAAACTTTAAAAGTTTTGGATTAACATCTCAAGTTAAGGTTTATTTTATGGAAATTATATATTCCCAAAATTCTGATTTCCCTCAAGATGTCTTGAAAATCTTGAACAACCTTATTAGTGGGCCCACCAGTGGAGCTCAACAAATGGTCCACAATGTTTGGGCTACCAGTTCGGGGAAAAGTACAAGAAGATTTAGCCTAGTAACTAGATTTGGGCCCATAAAGAAAACCCTTCAGATCTTGGCCATTACAACTATTTTGAAAAAACTCCCGCTCGAATTCAAAAAATCCCCAAAAACAAAATTCACAACCCTAAATCTCAAAATTCAACATTTCTACTCTCTACAGAGAAAACCAATGACCAGAGAAATGGATTCCACAGAGAAATTGATTCAAAAAATCTCAAAAATCCTGGATGAAACTAAAACATCAAATGCCACGCACACTAGAAAGCTAAAAGATCTGTCTTTACTCTTATTTTCCAAAAAATCCCCAAATCAGAGTCAACAAATCCCTACTTCTTCTCAATTCACTTCCGCTTTTTGCAAATCCCTAACTCCCATTTTTCTCTTCCAACGTCGTTTTGCCTCTGCTGAGCGTGTTGTTAAGTTTGTCTCTGTCTTTGCTGTCTCCACGATGGCGCATGATGGGAAGGAGAATGAGGGTGTGGGTGCTGCTGGTGATGGGTTTTTAGAGGAGTTTCTTAGGTTTTTAATGACTTCGAGTTTGGCTGCTAACAAGAGTGTTAGGTTTCGAGCTTGTCAAATCATCTCTGAGGTATTTTCCTCAATTTTTGAGTTTTTGAGTGTTCTAAGGTTTTTATTTGCTTTGCTTCTGAGAAAAATGTGGATTTTAATGAATTTATGCCTTAAGATTTTGCAATAATGAATTTTTTTAAAAAAAATCATAATTTAGCGAATTATAATTTTAAAATTTGAAGCACTGCTTGTTAGTAAAAATTTTAATGAATTAAAATGTGGGTTTTGAAGTTGGAACCTCCAAAGTTTACTCTTAGGGATCTAATCATATAAAAAAAATATTTTATGAAGTTTTTTTTTGCTTTTTTTTTTTTTTTTTGAAGTATTCTACTTGTTTGGTTGCTGAGAAAAGTATGGACTTGTATTTTAATGTCAGAGTTTTGTGGGGGAGGGTTTTGTTTTTCTTATTAGTAGAATTCTAAGTTTTATCTACTTTACTTGTTTATACTCGTTTATAAGTTTTGAATGCAGCTTGTTTTTGGAGATATGCTTATGAATAAAATTTTATTTTCAATTTTAGAATTTGGGACCTCGAGTTTTGACTCATGTAGAAAAACTAATGCATTGCTTTCTTCTTTCTGTTTATGGCATTTTTGGTTTTTGTAGATTATATTGAGATTGCCAGACGATGCAGAAGTAAGTGATGCGCTCTGGGACGAGGTTATAGAATTCATGAAGTTAAGAGTTGGAGACAAAGTTCCAGCTATTCGCACATTTGCAGTTAGAGCTCTTTCACGCTTTGCAAATGATACTGAGAATAGTGATATTCTTGATTTGTTTCTTGAAGTGCTTCCCTTGGAGCAGAATGCAGTGAGTGTCGTAATTGCTTCAAATGAATATAAACTTATTGGTGCTAACTTCAGATGGAAACTTGGATGCATGTTTAGTGGCTTTTTAGAGAGTGAGGATTAAGAGAGCTGTTGCATGCTTATGAATAGATGTGTTTAAAAGGGAGATACAAAGTCATGTGAGGATATAAGGCGTTCCATATTCCATTGGTGATGGTTCATCTGCAGATGACTTTTTGAAAAATTTCTCACCTGTTTTTGTGTTTTAGAACAGAAGTGCCTGCATTCATTTTCTTAAGATATGTAAATGGGAAGGACATCACTAGCATGGTTCTTTTCGAACACATGATCTTGAAAAAACAAATATATATATATATATATATATATACATATATATTTGGATGTACAATACAGTTGACAGATAATTGCCAATATAAAGACTGTTACACTTTTGAACCCATTTCATTACCATAATGTGTCAGTTGTTTCATGTCATTTCATGGTTATTTGATTCAGAACAGAAGTGCTTGGATATTTTTCATCATATTAAAAATTTGATGAACCCTTTTATTTTATCCTTTTCCAATAGTTTTTTACAATTGTGAATAGCACTATTATTTTTAAGGGTTCAGCTTTCATTTTATAAAGTGAATTAAACAATGTGAATCTATGTATCAACGTGAATCTATGTATCTTCTATAATACTTGTCATACAGCACTTCAAATTTTGCGTTGGACATAAAATGATGAACAATCCAATGGAAAAAAAAAAAAAAAGCTGCAAGATTATTATAGTGATTTTCATATCAGAAGTTTGCTCATTGAATGCTTACCTGTGGCATATTTGCAGGAGGTTCGTAAGACAATTGTATTAGCTTTGCCACCTTCCAACGCAACCTCACCAGCAATCATTGATTGCACCCTCGATGTGAGTGAGTCAGTCCGCAAAGCTGCATACTGCGTTCTAGCTAATAAATTTCCTCTTCAAAGTCTCAGGTAATTGATGTTGTCATTTCAGAACTGTTATATAATTTTGCCTTTCTCTTTGACCTTTTTGGCGACTTTTTATTTGTTCTCATATATGAAGATACATCTTCAAATTACCCTTTTTTTCATGAATTGTATATGTTCCATTTCATCTCTGATGGAAAATTATGTGCTTTGATGTTTGGTTGTAACTTCGTCCTCTCATCCGGCTTTCTTTTCATTGGTTTGATAGCATAAAGCTGAGGACAGTAATTCTACAGAGAGGACTTGCTGATCGTTCTGAAGCCGTTTCAAAAGAATGCTTAAAGTTGATGAGAGATGAGTGGCTTTCTAAGTGCTGTAATGATGATCCCATAGAACTTCTCAAGTATCTGGATGTTGAAACCTATGAATTGGTTGGGGAATCTGTGATGGAGGCTCTATTAAAAGATGGATTAATAAAATTACATGGCGATCAGAGTATCCGCCAATACATACTATCGACCTTTGGTGAAAATGGAGGTTGGTAGATATTTTCAATATCTTTGCTCAGATTGTAGCCCTTTGTTTTATTATTTTTATTCTCAAGTTATTGTTTTGATTGTCCTTCTACATTTTTTATTCCGATGAACCCATGGGGCGACTATTGCAGCTTGTAGCATGAGTTTTGATCAACATAGTCAGTCAGAATGTATTTGCTAGATGGAGCATGTTTTAAGACTGATATTTAATTCTCTGGCTTCCTTTACACGGCAATAAAGTTTTTTGTTGGTTTCATGAGGAACACAATTTGATGGGTTTTCCTGTCGAATTTCTCCAAATTTGGGTCTTTAAGAATGGAAAGAAGAAAATTTGCTGCTTTGTTGATATTGCAAATTGCCATGCATGTTCTGTTGTAAGCATATCTTTTAATGACATCTAATTTCTTTTGGTTATGCTTGTAATCAAGCTATCAAACTAAAGCCTTTTTTGCAATAAAGATGACTCTAGAGACATGAGTTCAGGCTTCCTCAATTGCTTCATCATTCTCCACTTGATGAAAGCGAGATATAAAATATAATAAATGCTTCTTTTTTGCTGTGACATTTGGTTTATATGATGGAAGCATAGCTTTTCCATCTTTATTTATCCTTCTCCAGGCAAACTATGGAAAATTTAATTTTTTAGTTGTTATCTCTTGTAGTACTTTTCAAATGTTTGAAGAAACAACATATTTATCTCTGTCATTCACAAATTTGAACTCAATTATAAAAAAAAATCTATTACAGAATCAATCACTAATGACCCATTCAGTATGCCAAATTCATGTTTTCCATACATTGGTCCTCTAACTATAAGTGGATCAAATCAGGTGTTCCATAAGAAGCCTTGACAGTTGAGTATTTAATAGCTTCTGCAAGATAAATCTATTTAGCCCCTTCAGGGTTCATCGCTTCATAGTGTGTGTGGTTAACTTGCTGTTTGTTGTATCCTTAAGGTTTCCTGTTTTGATGACAGAGGAACCTGAATACTGCTCCGTGAGAATCCAGCTAATGGAACCAGAGTTTGCTCTTTATTGGAAGACTGTGTGCAGGCACTTGCAGACAGAAGCACAGGCAAATCTTTTTTCACTTTTACATTGTTTTTGGCATATGATTTTAAATTGTTTACTTGTTGTTTTATTTGGAGACGGAGGCAGGAAGGGAGTATTCATAGTGAAATATATTCGAGTTTTTTCTACGAAAAGCATTTACCTTACATCATGGCAGTTTTTTTTTGTTTCCTTTCCCAATCTTATTGAGAAATGAGATTATCATGTCTTCAAAGTAAAATTGTCTGAACATAATCAATGAGCTATTGAGCTAAATTATTCTCTTACTGGAACCTTTGCGTGTATGAACTTTCTTAAGTTCTATAACTTGTTTAATATTAGGAGTTCTCAGAAGATACCAGCACCCTTAAAGGCTGTGGTTATTCATTGGAACCCCTACTTGATGTTTATGGAGAAAGGTATTTTCCAAAGCTGCCAGATCACCTGGTCTTATTCTGACTATCTACTTATAGAATGCACCAGATATCAAGATGTCAATTTCAGGTCACTCTGTTGATATTTTGTGTAGATTTCTTGTCGAAGAAGACATCTCAACTCCCATCATAATATTGTTGTGGGTGTCTGCTGATCCCAATAGTCTCTTAGAATGGTTGGGAATGGTACGGGTGGGATCTTGTTTGATCCTAGGTTTTAGTAATGCTTGCCTCTTTCTTTGCTTTGTTTTTCAAGGGCATGAACTTGTAATGTGCATTCTGTTAAAGTGTATCCCTTATTTCATTGATACACATGGCTGCACTTCTTTTCTTTAATCTATAACTCATAATCTTTTGATGCTCTTTAGACTTGAAAGTTAATTCCTATAAATTCTTCAAATGAATTGTTGTGAGGTAACCTCTTGCCAATAACACAAAACGTATACTAATGCCAGTCCTTGGAAGAATCAATAGTTTTAACAGGACATGAACTTCTTCAGAACAATATAACTTTTGGTATTTCAGGTTGATCCTTCACGTCATGTTCTTTTGTGAAAGTTATCATGCTGAATACGTTGATGTTAGATCTATGCTCTCTGATCATAAAATGTCTTTGAGCAGGTAAAGGGCTCTGATGCTGCAACCACAATGGGCACTGAAGCTGCAGTGTATGCAGCTGAAGCTTCAGACAACAATGACCTTCTCGAGAGGATTCTTCCTGCAACAGTTTCAGATTATGTAGTTTTGGTCAAAGCTCATATAGATGCTGGTGGGTGACATTATATGATTGGAATGAGTTATCCTTCTCTATGTTCTAATTTGACATTCATGTTTTCAGGACCAAATTATCGCTTTGCATCTCGGCAGCTACTATTGCTTGGTGCAATGCTTGATTTTTCTGACTCTACAAGCAGGAAGGTTGCTAGTGCATTTGTAAAAGACCTATTGCACAGGCCTCTAGATCATGAATTGGATGATGAAGGGAGCAAGGTTATCATAGGAGATGGCATAAACCTTGGTGGTGACAGAGAATGGGCAGGTGCAGTATCCAGTTTGGCAAAGAAAGTCCATGCTGCTGCTGGTGAATTCGAAGAAGTTTTTGTTGCAGTTGTAGAAGAACTTGCCAGACCCTGTAGGGAGAGAACAGCAGACTTCATGCAGTGGTTGCACAGCCTTGCTGTTACTGGTCTTCTGTTGGAAAATGCAAAATCATTCTACTGGCTTCAAGGGAAGGCTATTGAACCTATTGAATTACTGCAATCGTTACTGCTTCCTGGGGTAAGAAGAAAGATGCACTTCATTGATATTCCCCTTTGCTTTAACCTAGTCATGACTACATATTTTTGGAATAGGCCTCATTTTGCATAAATATTTTGCATAAAAATTCCATGCTTTATGTGTTCATTGCTGCAGCAATCAATGTAGCATTTCTCAAAATGCTATTTTTTTCCTGACTATATTAACTACTGGTATGAATTATAACTTCAGGCGAAGCATGTTCACTTGGATGTGCAGAGGGTTGCTATCAGGTGTCTTGGCCTTTTTGGCTTGTTAGAGAAAAAGCCAAGTGAAGAACTATTGAAGCAGTTGAGGCTTTCTTTTGCTAAGGGCCCTGCTCCAGTTAGCATAATGGCTTGTAAGGCTTTAATTGATCTTGCCATGTGGCATGGTCCTCAGGAAGTTGACGAGGCGATTGGATTAGATCATTCATCCAAATTTCAGGATGGCAAGATGGCATTTGATTTTGTGGACTTTTCTGATGCTGATGAGAATTTGAATGTTGAATTGCTTGACCTCTTATATGCTGGCTTTGATAGAAATGATTGGGGAGATGTTGAAACTGAAGAAAATGAGACAGTGCAAGCTGCTCTTGGTGAAGGTTTCGCTAAGATTCTTCTCCTTAGTGAGAATTATCCAAGCATACCAACGGCTTTACGCCCTTTGCTATTAGCTAAGCTCATTAAATTGTATTTCAGCAATGAAACAAAAGACCTGCAGAGGTGGACTCTGTTGTACCTATTTTCTTTCGGTCATTATTTTCCGCCATAAGGATGGTTGTCTAAACTTGTTTCTTGTTAACTTGTTTGCAGGTTGAAACAATGTTTATCTGTGTTCTTTGAGCATTACCCTTCACTCTCAGCAAATCATAAGGCAAGCCTCTGAGATTTGATATGTTTTATAAATGCTTTAGGATCATTAAATTAATCTCTTGTTTTGTGTATGCCTGTTAGATTTATAACAATTTTGATTATGTAAACGCAGAAGTATTTGTCGAAGGCACTCATTCCAGTCATGCGTTCTATGTGGCCGGGCATCTATGGCAATGCTGGAGGTTCTCCAGTTGTGGTGTCTAATATGCGTAAGCGTGCAGTCCAAGCATCACGATTTATGTTGCAGATGATGCAGGCCCCCTTGTATGCTAAACTGACTGAAAATGAGGGTGAAAATTGTAATACACAATCAACTGAAACTGTAGATGGCTCTTTGCAACCTTCATTTGAATGTTCAGACGAGGGACTTGGTATTCGCATCGCTGCTGAGGTGACCTTTTACAACCCAAGCTTTGATTGTTATATAACAATATTTCCAAAAGGCTTAAACGGTAAAATTTTAATGTTGCAATTTTTGTTCTGATGCTGTGTTACGAAAGGTGTGCCCGAATTCATCTATGTTTATTTCTTAGCACCGTTGTCATATATGACAAGGATTTTGATATCAAGGAAAATCCTATCGTAGTCAGTGCTCCATGTCGCATTGGGATGTTTAGGAACCTGTTTCTTGTTGGACATCTTATACTTTGTTATGCAAAATGGAAAAGTGCTGTATTTAAATGCCAGAACGAGGAGTAGCTAAGCTCCACTGATGACCTTAGAGAACTCAAGAACCCCTAGGAAGCATAGAGCAAAAGCATATTTCAAATGGAAGGAGAACTAACCAATGACATAGGACTCCTCCTTGAGTTGTAAACCTAGAAAGTACTTTGGTTCCGAGAAAAAAAACCCTGCCCAGCTCCTATCAAAGTGCTATAACTTCACCATTTTCTTAAAACCGCTTCCCTTCTCCAAGCAAGGAAATTTTTGCTCATGTCGCAACAAATCATGTCTGCTTGTTACCTTTTTTCTCAATTTAAAAGTTTGTCCTGCCTGGAAAGGAAAATAGAAATGAAATACAATAAGGGTTTTATATTTTGCTTATTATATCAGCTTCCTTGGTTCTGTGTTCCTTGATTTCAGGTTCAGTAGTTAGTATATGTGCACTGCTCACTTCAGTTGACAACCATACTTCTGATTGATATTGCTTCAAAACCTTTTTCTTTTATGACGAACTTCTTAATTTGTTACTTCATGCAGGTCGCAAGCTTCACTACAAAGAAGACACCGGCTGAGAGGTCATATGTTTCAGCACTATGTAGAATACTTGTCTTGCTCCATTTTCGGGTATCAGAACAAGGTGCAATAAAATTAATGAGGAAACTCTTGAACCGCGTGGCTGAAACTGTATCAGCAGAGAGAGACCTTGTAAAGGAGTTGAAGCAGATGGCTGAACGTCTCAAGTCAGTAGATAAGCAACCAGACGAGGAGCTATTGGAGGATCAAGCAAAACTTATTTTGGGTAAATTCCTTCTATTCCTAGGAAATTCCTGAGAGATCTGCGTCTTTAATGACAGTTTGCTAGATATATAAATTGCATAGATTACAAAAAATTGAATGTTCTCATATATTATTATATCGAGGCAAAATTGAATTGTTGTCCTGATATACTGAATGAATTCCATAAAACGTTAGAAAGTTTCTGCATGTATAAGTTGATTTTGTGGCTAATCAATAGAGAGCAATCATCAAATCATTTTTAAAAGTAGTTTTGATTTTTCAGTCTTCTTCCTCATCTTTTCCCGAGCTAACATTTGTCATCTATGACAGGGACATTGGGAATCGATATCAACTTGAATGTTGACTGCCCCGCCGCAATGCCACAAACACCAGCCCCACTACAACCAACCAAACCATCTCGTTCTAGAAGACGAGTAAGGCGTGAAGACTCTTCTGATGAAGAAGCCTCACCGACCACTGTTGTGCAGACTGCTCCTTGCACTATAGGCAGCCGCTCACAGAGGGCTAGCAAGACTGCAGCCCTGACAAAAATGACTGCGAATGTAGCCGTTAGGATTGATGAATATGACGATGAAGCAGAAGAAGACTCTGAGGTAACATCAGAGGAAGATTCTGATGACTCTGTCCCTTATGCTGAATGAGCATTTTACGGATTTTCCTTTCGAATATTGTGCTTTCTCAGCACAATTGTCAGTTGTATGCTTGTTCTGTATTTTTATTTTTTTTATATATATAATATCTTACATACCTAAAACTCCTATCAGAACTAGGATTTCAACCCGTAACTTTTCGCATGTAAACAAAAGGCCACTATCAATGAGGTAGAAGCTCATTGGTTTGTTTTGTAGTTGTTGATCTTGGGGTTTTGTATAGATAGGTCCATCGGTTTTTTGGTAGTGTGCATTTTGGTCTGGGGAACTTGGCATCATGTCTGTAAAATCAGCTCCAAGCTACTTGTATTGTATGAATCCTAATTCATCTTTGAGATCGACTTAAATTGTCCTGAGTGCTCCAGGGTTATTGTACTTTGCCCAAGCCTATCTCATTTCTGAAATCAATTTAACTATAGTTAATTGTATTTCTCTGTACATAGGGGAAGGTTGGTCCAAGGGATTGTGGGCTAGCTTTTGCATGTTGCATACTTGCAACTTTTTTCATTTTAGATTCGTTTCCTTTTTCAACCCAACTGAACAAAAGGAAATTTGAAACCACAATCATATGTTGCAACTAGAAGAAGTTACAACTCACACCGATAAGGACAAGTTAGAGGTGGATACACTAATAGCCGAAAAGCCGAAAAGTTCCTATAAAGCTATGAAAATAAGCCGTATTGTCCTACCGGTAACTCACTTAAAAACCCTTCATCACCATGCATTGAAAGCTAATGCCAATTGGGACCCATCCATCCACTGGATAATAAAAGAAAAATGCGACCTTTCACGTATATGAAGCTCTACAAGAGACTAGAGTCAAAAAAAAAAAAATTGCGTCATAAATTTGATCATATCTCTTGCAATTAATAGATCTGACAGTGAAAGGCATGTTGCCTACAGCCTGCTCTTGGGGGCAAAATTTCTTTGTGGGGACCCACTGAAAGGACGATAAGCACATCCTTTGCTTTCTTAGGTTTCATGGTGTGAATGAATACAAAAGCAACCCCACAATCTTCTTTTCTCATCTCTCCTTGTCCATTCATCTGAAAATGGATTCTTGACCTTTCGAACTGCCTTGCATGATCCCCAATTTGTTAGAAGTTGTGGGGCTTGTACTCCCTGCCACGCATGTTCAGTGGTTATCTTGCATGACCTATATAGTTCTAGAGTCATAGGCTAGGGCCTTAGTGGACCTGATGGAAATTGTGAGAGTCGTGATTGGAGGATGCTTAGGCATAGTACAGGCCATGTGTTATCTGACATAAAACTGATGAGATTGGAGGCCATTAATCTGTCCGATTTGCCCTTTTATTTTAAATTACGAGCAGGGATGGTAATTTATCCTGTCCCAAGGAATTCCGTCGCAGTCAACGGGAAAATGATCGAGTTGATTGGAGAACGAGATAAAGCATCTCATTTCATATTGATTTTGAACGAAGATGGAGATAGGATGAGATTTGCTCGCTCTATCAGTTTTTTTTTTTAAATTATAATTATACTTAATATATATAAATTTTGAGACTATAAACCAACTTTTAATATAATAATAAAATTTAATAATCTTTTAGTATAAAAGACATGTAAGGATTTAGTTTTTTAATTATATTTATAAGATTTTATCAATTTAATTAAATATATTATTTATTTGATTAAAAATAATTAAATATATTATGAATTGTATTGTAAATTTATAATTAATATCATGTTAAATGATTTTTTTAATTATATTTTTTTATAATTTAAAATTTAATATAAAATAATATGAGATAAAATGAGACGAGATAAACGCATAAAATTTAATAGGACACCGATACTTTAGGATCCTCTTTTCATTGGAAAGGGGATGATAGAGGAAATATTGCCCTTTGTGAAGCACGGAGTGAGGATAGGGTAGGGCTTATCAGGGGCGGGGCTTTGCCATTCTTAATTACGAGGGCAAAAAAAAAAAAAAAAAAAAAAGAGGGAATTGGCTTTTCATTACAAACACAATGGGTAAAAATAGAGGTTATCTCTTTCTTTACTAATGTCACTGGGATCTTTTTGTTGGTGCTCCACTTTGGCAGAGATACTATCCATCGTCGTATAATGACTATCACCCTATTATGGTATCCAGCTTGGAATTAAAGCTTTTAAGGTAACCATACATAGGACCTTTAGACTTTAGTTGCCAATGGTTTTGGTCGTGTAAATGCCTTGCTTATTGGGATATGCATGTGAACAAGCCAAGCTTAGATAATGAAATAAAATCAGATCATCAAATGTTGGCATCAACTATAAAGAATAGCTCATTAGTTGGATTATTAGACTCCCGACATTTAAAATTTAAATTTTACTTTCTGTGTGTTATAAAATTTAAGTTTGTTCTTTCGACTTTAAAACATATAAAAAGTTTAAAATTTTTAATTTTAAAATCAATTCATACCTATAAAAAATATTTAAGTGATATATATATATATATATATATAATAAAATGTTGATGTCATAGATGACATATATAACTTGAGTGTAATTCATAAAAAAATCAGCACATTTGACTCCACAAACTCCACTTTTATAAATATTTATGTTAGTTACATAAAATATCACTAAAAGTGAAGAAATTAATGGAGCAATTATGATTAAATGATCATTAATGGGTTGACAAAGTCTTAAAAAAATGAATGAATTAATTAGTTAACATGGTATCATTGGCTTCCAAAATAATGAAAATCTAGTCTTTCCTTCTGTTTTTTCAATGTGCAATTTAATTATCTCTTATGTCAGAAGCCACATGAAACAAAATTAGAGAATCATGCCAAATGCTTCGAAGATCCCAATGTTTGTTTTGTGGGAATCAGACCACAAACTAGAATCAAGATTAACCGATTTCTGAATGGAAACATGTTCACATGTATTCCACATGCCAGTTGGTTGAATCATCAGCTCTTTCAACTCCCTTAATTAGCAGCATATGCTCAACTGCTACATTGTTGAGAAAACATAATTTACGAATGACAATAGTACAATTGTTAATGAAATTGTCTTTGGAACTTCTCATTAACAAAAAAAAAATGTCTTTAGATCTTATTTATTGCTTATTTTCTTTCCTTGAAAAAATTGTTGATTAAAACAAAGAAAAGAAGCACCATCAAGGGATATGATTAAGGAGATTGTTTTGTTTTGACCAAAACCAAAATTCAGTTCCACTATCCGAAAATAACTAATCATAATTATTTTTTAATAGTATTAGGCTTAAGTTAATTTAGTCTAAGAGGAAGTTTAGCGGTCCATCAAAAGTTAAGCGTGTTTTAACGTTAGTTTAGTTTAGAAAATGATGAACTTAGTTTCGATTGATGTGAAAACTGATCTAAATATACCCTAACATCTATAAATATATATATATATAACAAAACAAAAAGACCATCTACATATAGATGGTGTGAAAACCAAGTTGAGAGATGAAAATCATTGAGCAAAATCTTCTATAATGATTCCAATGTGAACCCAAAAGCTTCCAGCCACATGTAAAATGAAAACTTAAAATATCTTTACGAATGAGGTTAATCGAGTAGATATGTAGTCTTTTTCCAAAAACCAATCAAGGCTCAAACTTGAAACTTCCAAATTAAATGAATTTCATCCTTAATTACCATCTAAATCAACCCCTTTAGAGCTAGTTTTCTAATTAAAACATGAATATAATAATAACTTAATCAAATATTGATCTTTCCAAAATTATTTCTACTACAAAATTCCATGCACTGATGAGAGGATCCCATCCGGCCATTAATCCCACCAATGAATATATAAATTCAACGGGTAGTTTTCAAAAATGATTTCAGAAAGAAATTTTCATATGATTAGCTTATATACACATGATTCATCAAAGGCTACTACTCCATGAGCCATGCACAAAATAGCAAGAACACTACTCGAAAATCTAAGCCAAAGGCTCATCAAATTGCAAACACTTTCATGCCACTGAAAAAAAAAATAGTTACCATGCAATGAATTCCCGAAACCATAAACTCCAAACCTTCAACCTTAGATCCTAAACTTTATTCGTAGGAAGATGCTCTTTGCCTTTAGCCTGGCACTTGTCAATTCATCAGCTGCTGTTATATATCTAATCAATGTCTGAGAGTTTGACACGTCAAATGCTGTATATATGATCAGATTCAAATACTATATTATGAGTTTTTCTAGCTAGATTAATTTTAACCTTCTAACTCAATATCATTCATTTGGAAAAAGCTTACAAATCATACAATAATATAAAAATAAAAAACCATTAAAGGATGCGATATATCAGTAAAGTAATTATTTTAATTTGATCGATATTAAAATTTAAATTCTTTTTATTTATAAATAATTAGTTGTAACTATTCCTTAATTATATCAAAGCTGAGCTGTTTTGGCCTGCATAACTGTTCGGTAGTTAAATAAAGACCAGACGTATTCTAAAATTAGTTTAATTTAAAAAATAATAGATTTAATCTCTTTTGATATGAAAATTGTTCAAAAATACTCAATTACTTATTAAAAAAATCATGTTTGTATGAAAATATGAGATTCTTATTCTAATAAAAAAATTAAATAAAAAATTATAACCTGTTTATTAATTAATTCGTCATTGTTCTAAATTAGGGTAGACTTTTTATATACTGAAATGAATTTGTATTCAAATATCAATATTATAGATAATGCACAGTTTTTCACTTTTCTTGATGGAATAGATAACTACCATTAAAGCAAACTGTCGTCCAGCTACAAATTTCAAACTAACTCATAACCGACACGTGACCGACCAATGTGAAGCACGAGCTTTATTAAAATAAAATAAAAATTATCGTCAACTTCTGAGACAGAGGGCAAAGTTATTTATATGACTCTTTCTTCCTCCTCTGCCTTACACAATTCAACATAGCGTAGATCAGAATTGAAAATAGCCTATGCAATGACATAAAAAACAGGAGACTTTAGACCAAAGTTTTTAGTCTACGGAATTAAGGGCATGCAAAATATATTTAGGCTTTTGTTTTTCCACCGAAGTTATTAGCTAGGTTTGTTAGACAATTAATAATTGAAATCATTTTTTTTAGATTTTGGAAGGTTCGATTCTCATGAACGTGTATTTGTTAATACTTTGTTGTCAACCAATAGGGTTTTTTTCCCTAACGACTTCAATTAGGTGAGAACATGCCATGTTGCTATGATGTAGGATAAATAAAATTCCATTTTGGAAATGTATTGAGAAAATGTTTGGTATATACCAAAGCAAAAGGACATAAATGTTTGGTACGACCTAAAATATTCAAAGTATTGAAGAGAAAAAATTTTATTTGATTTAGTTAGTAGAGTACAATATGCTTTGCTGTTAATAATTAGGTTTTGAAATTTTACGAAGTTCTTGAAATAAGGTTTTGATGAAGGGATTACTTGTACGGATTTTTGTTTTAATTTCAAAGAAAAACAATTGACCTAATCCATTAAATCAGAAAAATAAACTAAATCTCAATGTGCAAAAAGTGTTTCGAAACATAAAAAACATGAAAGAAAAGGAAAAACAAAATCGTTATGTAATTGATTAGTTTGAAATAATGTGTTTACGTAGATTGAGAAATTTTATAATACACAAGGAGTAATTAATTCTTGGGCTCACTTTGAGAAGAGAGATAGACACACAAAAGAGAGAAAGAAAATCGGATGAGAGAAAACAAAAAAATTTGAACGGATGTAGAAATCTTCTTATCACTTTTGATGGGTATGGATGTAATTTCTCTCTTTTTTATGTGTCTATCTCTCTCTTCAAAATTAACCTAAAAAGTAACTACCGTACATATCATTAATTATTCCTCGTATGTTATAAAATTTTACTACGTAGACTTAGAATTTGTTATATTGGGTTGCCATCCTCTACTTAATAATCTATTGTCCATTACTTGTTGCTGAATTTTTGGTATATGTCGTTGGTTTTGGACTTTGGTTATGATATTGAGATATGTTAAATTGAACCCATGTGCTAGACCATGTGCCTTTGATGTGTGGTTGGGACTTCATGGATTAAATTCAGTCTTCTTCAACATTTTTTTTTTCAAGTTTGCGGCTATTATTTTGAAATTAATTATGTAGTGAAAAGGATTATAATAATTTGAAGGACTATTTTCTGGTTGGTTATTCAGAATTAAGTTCGAGGATTTTGAGTTGCATGTTAGGGTTATAGCTAGGAGGTGGTGGATGATTACTCATTTTACAATTAATGGGCAATTAATATTTAGATTATATTTCCTCATCATTAAGGCATGCTAAACAATTACGGATTCCATCTAATAATACAGTAGCATAAATAGAAAATAGGAAAAATGATCTTACATGAATTGGCAGAGTTAAGGAGGTATGCTTCCTTCTTCCAATATAGAAGATTAACGTGGAGTGTGTATTTTTAAAATCGTTCGAAAATGAGACTTAATTTCGGTGGATATGTACATAAATTTATCCGATTATACCTTTTATTTTTGAATAAAAAAATGATTCAAAATAATTTAGGGACATTGAATTTCATTCACAGCCGAAATTGAAGAAATTAACAATAAGGAAATTTTTTTTTCCCTAGAATGTGTATACATACACCGCACACACTCGCAGAAAGCAGAGATGATGACAATCACTAATTAGCTTTCTAGATGAATTGACATAGTAACACAACTCTTTCTAGCTTTTACATTAAAGTTTTTGGAAGAATAATAGAAGAAGAAAAGAAGAACTATAAGAAATGAAGAGATAGTACAATGGAGTATGATTCAACTAAGTTGCCAAAGGTTGCAAGGAACTTCCTTTCCTTTTTCTTCAGAATGCGTAGGTAAATGTGCACACAAAATATTTCCATGAAGCATGAAAGTTGCACTTGATTCCTTCTTCATAGGATATAAAAAATACGAAAACCTTGCATGAAAGGGAATGGCACTCCTTCCTTTCACTTTCCTCCATTGTTGAAGAAGGAAGAGAAACCAACCAATTAAAGAAATGATGCGGCAGAGAATAATGCTTCAAACGGTCTGCTTTTGGCCAAAGAAGAAAAAAATAACCTTGAAAGTGACCGATATAGATATTATTAAAACGATAAAGGGTTAGTTTTTTCTTTCATTTACTTCCTCGAAGTTACCACCAAAATTTTGTTTCAAGATTTCAACCATTCCTTTGAGATAAAAAAAATAAAAAATAAAAAATTCAAATCCTCTTGTTAATGTTTGCTGAAAAATAATGACTTTTTTTTTTAATCTGAATTGGCCGACCTTGAGATTTAAAAAGTATGATTAAAAAAAACTCTAAAAAAAATAATTTTTATATGTTGGAAATGGAGGATGGAAAGAGTGGAGATATGGGAGGAAGAAATGCATTGTGGTACGATTGCTTGCGGCGTGATCTATTGCTTTATTGGTAGACTAATGAGTGGTGTAGGTGGTGGTGGTGCACCATGGTGGGTGGTGGTTGTTCCTTTTTTGATGAGTTCTGTTTTATTTATTTCTTTTGCTTTCTTGATTGCTTAATTTGAAGGTTTCTTCAAACTTTAGGGCTAATCGAGATAAGAAAAAGATGTCATGTCATCGTTTCCAATACTTCCAGCAACAAAGACTGATGGAAGGGTTTAATTGAAAATCTCTTTAAATCTTAAGACAATGATTGAAAAAAAAAAAGAAAGAACGAAAGAAAGAAAGAGGAGTTTTGGGGGTAATTGACAAAATCCATTAACTTCAAAGGCTAAGTTAAGATAAACCCTACAATCAACTCTGTCGGCAATAGATGGGGCATTGCCGACTTGATTGGACAGTGAGACCATTACCTGAACTAAAAAAATCTTGCGAAAGATATTTATGCTAAGTAACAGAAGTAAGTTCTCGTTGATGTTAAATAAAAAAAACAAACAAACAAACAAAAGCCATTGGGACTACATAATTTGTAATATAAAAATACTTATTTTGTGAGATTATACTCTAAAGTCGAGTGGTTAGATGTGGGATTGGCTCATTGGTTAGAGTTAGGGATTGTTTAAGTTGTATGAATATAATGTTATTGTAAAATATAGCTATCAAACTCGATTCGGTTCGATTAGTTAAGAGAAATCTGATGATTCAATAACTAATTTGAATTGAAATTGATATTAAATTGGATATATAATTGATTTAATCAAATTCGGGCAATCCAATAAAAATAACATATATATATATATACACACCGTCAAGCCGGTTCAATCAACTAACTACGTTGGTCAACCCTGGACGTCGGCCAGGTTGGTCAACCATTGCTACAAAGATTTCTGAACGAGATAACTTCAAACAAGTCCCCAAACTATGATGTAACTTTCAATTACATCTCATAATTAACTATCAATTTAAGCAATGTTATCCAATTTATCAAACTTGCTAAGAATCGTGTCTTTTTCACGTGCCTTGTGAAAGGATGCATTGTGTTTGTTAGGCCTTAATCCTACCTAATTCATAACACATATCGACTCCTATATATTTCAATACCAACAAACACATCCTTCAAGCTACTACGTGAATCTTTTTGAATTAGCTGAGATTGTAACTTGCTTCTTTTTTTTTTGGGTGCAAAGTGGAACCTTAACAAAAGAAGCATGCTTCTTAAAAAGTTTTCTGCGAATGGGATGCTTTTAAGGTAACGTTGCTTAAATCGGTAGGTGGAAAATTTAATTAGACATATCATTATCGGGGACTTGTTTGATGCCATTTTAAAGAAATATTTCAGTACTTAAAATTGAGACTAAATGGGTCAAAAAAATTTCGAATTCTAAGTCATTTGAAATTAGATTTTTTAATTTTTAATTTATTTTTTAGAATTTTTGAACTTTTGATTTTTTAAGATTTAATCAATTCTTCAATTTTCTATCATTTATCTCAAAAAATAATAATCGCATAAATAATTTCATAATAGAAATATTATTCAAGTGTGATTTATGTAGGACTCCTCAAAAAAATTAAGATCATTCCGGATTATTTTTTAATTTTATCATTTTTAAAACTTCTAGGATTTTTGTAAAAAATAGATTAGATTTTTTCTCAACAAATGTGAAAATTTTTAACTCATAATATCAAGAATTGATTTTTTTTTTAAAAAAAAGAGTGATGATGAGAAATCATTAAATGGACTAAATCTCAAAAAAAAAATCAAAAATTTTAAAAATTAAATTTAAAATTCAGATACTTAATTTCAAATGAATTAAAATTTAAGAGAAATTTGAACTATTTAGCGGTTTTTTCTAGGAAGTTGATCCGTATTTTATTTACTGCATGGAAGCTAGGTGGTTTCAAATATTTGAATAATTAGTTGGGTCAAATTAATCCTGTACTTACGTACCTTCATTATCAAATCAAATAATTACCAATGAATTCCCATATAATTCCCAAATTTTCTTACCCGTGGTATCCATATTTTTGTTGAAAAAAAGAAGCTATAAGGCAAAAGAGTACGTAGAAAAATCAACCGCACATGGAATTGGCAAGGATCATACGAGAAGCCGGTAAATTACTGTGCAGATAATTCAATGCCATGCATGTATCTGGCAAGACAATGATCAACTACGAAGAACTTGCATAGAAATGCATGCAAATCACATGAAATATCCTACAGGCTAATGCAAGGAATATTTAATACTTCTTAATAAACGGCTAAGTACAAGGAATGTTTAATTATACTTCTAAATACACGGTATTAATATTCCATTGAATATTTTTTATTTGTCAAATAAGTACTAAGAGTAAAAGTGCATATAAGGGCAGATGAATAAACGTGATACATTTGCAATTTTTTTTCGGCTACACCACTTGAAGAGTTTTTATTTTCGTGGACAGAGACAAAATCAGCTCAGTTTCTCTTCAATAATAATAATATATAGACTAAATGATCCAAACTTATCACGAGTTTTAATTTATTTGATAATTAATTCTTCAACTTTTAATTTCATATTCAACCTCATTCTAACTATTTTTTATTTGAAATTGAATTTTTATATTAAATTTTCGTGAATTCTAATAGTGCAATTATACATGATTTGCATATTGTTGACTTTTTTTACTTTTTTATCAGCTAAAAATATGTCAAATTTTGTGTATATTTTGTTTTATCTTCCCAAACTTGTTTTTTCATTCTCAAATATTATTTAATTTCTAGCGTTTTGGAGGAAATAAACATTTTTTTGATAAAAAAAAAACATTCATAAATTTTGACATATTTTTAGCTACATGAAAAATACACTTCTACATTTTAATTAATGAAAATCTAACAAAAGGATTCAATTTTAAATAAAAAAATAATTGGGAAAAAGTTCAATTCATCAAAATTAAAAATTAAAATATTGATTCTCAAATGATTTAAAATTCAAAATAGACTTGTATTGATGAGACTGCAAATTTGTTTTCTCTAGTATCATTCTGAATTTAAATCCTAAGAGAAATTTGTAAAAAAAAAAAAAAAAAAAAAAAAATCATAAATATATCAATTGGGATGTAACTTAGTGTGTATGAGGTAACGAGTTGCTTGTATATATTTTTGCAAAAGTACGATTGGTATATAAAAGCATCAAATTTAATACTTTTCAAATATTTTTTTCATAGTTTTGACATCAACATATCAAAATTCTCCAAAAATTTAAACCCAAACACATTTTAAAAAACAATTTCAAACATAGTCTAAACATATGATCAAACACAGCATTAAGCCACAATCATATATAAGAAAATTTAGTTTATATATGCTTTTAAACGACCATAGCTATATATATTTATAAAGATTCCAATTTTTTTTCTAACATAAATATAAAAAATTCTTTAAAATAAAAAGATCGTAAATACCACGTTTTTTATAAATAAGAAAATGTCATATTCTCTTATCTTTTTATATTTATAACAAAAAATAAAAAGCCGAATTGTGTGGACATGAATAGATACGTACCATGGCTATCGTAAGATCCCACAAGAGATGCTTTTACTCAACGGAATCCTACCTAAGAACCTAACACAGACAGCAAAAAAAAACAAAAAGTTAGTGTAAATACGATAAGAGTGGGCTGATAATTAGTTTGCTGTGGCCTCCACCGCCATTTATGTACACCTACCTGCAGCTTTCATTTTTATTGATGGCAAGATGACAAGCCTCTCATTTATTGAGTTAGATATTGCTATTTTTTTCTTGGATTCTCAAATTATCTCATACCTAAAAATCCAATCCTAATTAATTATTTATTATTCGATCAAATACATAAGATAATCACTATTTCCTAATAAGTTTTTTTTATATAACTAAAATTAAAATTAAAATCATTTATTTAAACGATTAAAGCTTATTCTATTCAAACTAACTCTCCTGGATTGGTATTGCTATTTTATTTTACACTCAAAATAACTCTTTTTGATAAAAACTGCTATTTTATTTTATATAGAGAAATTTGGATCCACATATTTCAAGTAAAAAATAAATAATTAATTTCAAGCTGAAATATAGTTAGTTAATCATGCATGATTGTCAGGTGAAATAAATTTCATGTCCTACAAAAATAAGAAAAGGAGAAATTAGGTTACTATTAAAAATTAACGATTTTGTTTCATACTCCTTATTGTGTGATATTCTTTTTTGACTTTTCACATAATTTAATTGTGATTGTGAAATTGAAATAAATTTTTTAGCCTACAAAAATGAGAAAATGAGAAATTAGGTTACTGCTAAAAAATAACAGTTTTATTATATTCTATATCGTGTGATAGTTTCTTTTAACTTTTCATAAAATTTAATTAATTATGATTGTCAATTGAAATAAATTTCATGACCTACGAAAAGGAGAAATTAGGTTATTGTTAAAAATTAATGATTTTATTTCATACTCCTTATCATGTGATAGTCTTTTTTTGAATTTTCACGCAATTTAATTGTGATTGTGAAATTGAAATAAATTTCTTAGCCTACAAAAATGGGAAAAGGAGAAATTAGGTTACTACTAAAAAATAATGGTTTTGTTATATTCTCTCTTGTGTGATAGTTTCTTTTGACATTTCATACAATTTAATTAATTGTGATTGCCAATTGAAATAAATTTCATAGCCTATGAAAAGGAGAAATTAGGTTAATGTTAAAAATTAACGATTTTATTTCATATTCCTTATCGTGTGATTTTTTTTTAATTTTCTCATCATTTAATTGTGATTGTGAAATTGAAATAAATTTCTTGAGAAATTAGCTTATTGCTTAAAATAACGATTTTATTATATTCTCTCAAGCTCGTGTGATAGTTTTTTTTACTTTTGATACAATTTAATTAATTGTGATTATTAATTGGAATAAATTTCACGTCCTACGAAAAAAAGAAATAAGGTTATTGCTAAAAATCGATGGTTATATACCCTAAATCCTAAACTTTAAAGCCTTTAAACGTTATGATATTTTTGTGTTTTTTTTTCTTACTTTTCACACAGTTTAAAGAGACTTATTAATTTTAATGTTATATCGGTATTTTTTAAAAAATACTTTTTCTAAAATATCATTTATTGTTTAAAGAAAAAATCTCTATAATTTACTACTATATTATAAAATAGAAGTATTTTTTTTAAAAAAATACAGTATTAAAAAATTTAATCGATAAATATTTTAGGATATATATAAATAAATAGAATCACAAAGAGCGGATAGCACGAGAAATCTCTTTCTTATAATTTTCAAAAATTAATGGAAGTGGGCCGTCATCCAACCATTTGCTTTTTCCTTTCTTTTTTTTTTTTTTAAAAAAAAGCAAAAAGAAAAGCCATTTACTTTTATGAATCTCGTATTGACACCGCCAACAACAATGATAATAAATAAGACAATAAGAGAAGACTTGGAAAAAATCGACCAATTCTTCTGACGTGCCAAGTTTGAAAGTGCCTCTTACAAAATCAACAAATATTAAATAAAAAATTGAAAGATTCCGTGAAAGTAAATGTGCCATTGCAGACTACAGAGTCGTCTCTGTTTGTCTTGATCAAAAAGATTTTATTTTCTATGGAAATTAAAAAATTGCAGAAAACCTAACCCTGACAATTTTATGCTATATTTTTATTTTTGATGCACAAATAGGAGGAAAATATATTTTGTCACAAGGCTGAAAGGCATGGAGTTTCCTATAATGTTGGTTGAGCTATGATAATGACACACAATTTGAATCCAATTTTATATTACATATAATTCTTAAAAAAACAAAATAATGCACAATAATTGGCTATGCAATTTTAAAATATTCATGAATTTTATAATATTCATTCATGTTCACATTATTTGTAACTCTCACTTTTACAAGGAGACTATTAGTTATTATGCCAAAGTTTGTATTACAATCAGTTGCAAATGCACAACAATATTTTTTTTAGATTTTCAATATATTTTGGGTTTAAAGGTTCGAATTAATCTTTCGTGTTTCGATCGAACATACAAGATGAACACGATTATCCAAAAAAATTTATATAAATTTTTTAATATTTTTAATAAAGAAAAAGTTTAAATTGGAAGTTTTTTATAGAAAAAATATATTAATATGCACTTCATTTTTTTTAATGGGTATTATAATAAATAAAGATTTATAGTGAACTCTCCCGTTATCATAAGCATATGCAAATATTTTTGGACAATATTTAATATGAAATTATAAAGGATTGGATGTCTTTAAACTGATGGATATTTTTTTTCCTAGTTAGGCCAATATGAATAACCAGATTAACACATGCAACTCGTTATTTTTTATTTTTATATGTATTATTAACTATTAATCATTTCGTTTCTATGGTTAAATTAAGACGATTTTATTGGAAAAATAAAATAAAATAAAACTTCAAAACTATTTATCAACGTGTACTTAGGATAAAATTTAGAAGGATCCAAATTAATTTCAATAATTTGTTTTTTTTTTTTCAAAATATTAGTACGAAGAGTAGGAGTAAATTATAAATTAGTCTTTTTTTTTGAGAAATAAACTAATTAATCCCTCTAGTTTCAAAAATTAATTATTCAGTCTTTTCTGCTATTTTTTATTATTTTTTTTAATTTTTTTATTTTAAGAAATATAAAAGGAATAAAAATAAATAAAAATAAGAAAATATTGATGAGAGAAAAAATATTTTATAAAATAAAAAAATTAAATTAGTCGTAAACACTAATTAAAAAGATTAAATAATTAATATTTAAAACTAAAAGGATTAATTAATTTATTTTTTGAAATAAGAGGGACTAATTTAAAATTTATTCCGAAGAGTGGAGGTCCTTTTGGTTTGTTTCCTTCCTTCTTTCCGCTCAATAAATAAAGCTAAAGGAAGAAGAAAAGGTCAGTGACGCGTCAGCTACACGTCGAGTTTGGGAGCATGCAAAATTGCCAAGTCGAATAAATGGGTCCCACACCTCAATCATGCACCCTTTCCTTCTTCTTACCATTATTTATGGCTGTAGTTAACCTGTCTTTTTTCTCATATCATAACCACTAACAGAAATAGATACCTTAAAAAGATTTGTCTATTTTCCCCATCATATAGTTTCATCCCGTATTTTGCACCATCCAATCCAACTCTTCTTTCTTGTGTTTGTCCAATTAACTTACTAAGCTTAGCTACCTAGCTAGTTAGTTAATTAGTACTTTCTTGTTATATAAAGAACCAGAACCAGAACCAGTTCCTTGAGCAAATTGGTGTTTTTTTGTCTCAAGTTTTGAAAGGAAGAAAATGGCTGCTGCTTTGGTATCTCAAGAAAATGTTGTAGCTTCTTTGGTGTCTCGTACGGGGAGGCATTTGCAGCGGTATAATAAAGGTCGTCGTCAAGTTGTAGGGTGGGTTGTCTTTCCTTATCTTCTTTTTTTCTACTGATTTCTTGATTTTGCCTCGTGGGGCATAATTGTTTTTCGTAATTCTTTAAGCTGATAACTTTTAATTAGGCCTGCAGATTTGATGGACAGAATAATCGTTAATTGGTTTAGGTTTTGTTAATTTTGTTTTGTTTTTTAAACGAAGTCTTGACCTCGGATTATAAAAGCAGAACTTGATTCTGGTTTGCCTAGAGGTTTGTTGGTCTAGTACAAAATCTTCGATGAAGGTGATGAATGGTTGTTCTCAGCCACTTGAGGCCACTCGTTAGTCCATGTTGGTGGGCTTATCCATGATGGGTGGATAAGGTTGGCTCATGTGCATGGATAATAGTCCAAATCTTTTCCAAATTCTTCTTGTGGAGCAGGGGAAATGCAATTTCTGCTCTGCTCTCTGATTTGCCAGCAAATTGTAGTCCAAGTTCGTTGGAATTTAACACACAGAAGCACTAATTTAGTTGATGACTTGATTCTGAGTAGTTCAGTCTGATTTGAGTACTCAAGCTTTTAGGTTGCTAAATTTTCTTCCTTGTTTCAAATGTTGCAGATGTGTACCGTACAGATACAAAGTTGGGAACCCAAATTCTTTGGAGGGTGAAGATGAGTTACAAGTTCTTGTCATTAGTTCACAGAAAGGAAAGGGGCTGTTGTTTCCTAAGGTACCTAGTTCAATAGTCAAATGAAATTAGCACTTGATAACTCAATGTAGAGTCTAAACTAACCAACATGCTTCATTGGTCACCAGGGAGGTTGGGAATTGGATGAAACCATAACACAAGCAGCTCAGCGAGAGACATACGAGGAAGCTGGGGTTAAAGGCATTGTTGAGGTAGTTTTCTATTACTCATTAATGGGGTGATTGTAGTTCATTTCTTCCACATTTGATTGTGCAATTTGTTGACATTTAGCATTTTTTCTGCAGCGCCAATTAGGTGAATGGACCTTCCAGAGCAGAACTCACGGCACTGATTATGAAGGATTCATGTTCCCTTTACTTGTTACGGAGGTATTAGATTTCTGGCCAGAGAAAAACAATCGCCAGAGAAAATGGGTAGGCACATGCTACATTTCTTTTTATCTATATTTTGACTTTGTATGAACTATTGGTTCCGTCGCTGATGTTATGTCCTCTATATGTTATGTATAGGTGAGTGCGAGAGAAGCAAGAGAATGCTGCCAGCATTGGTGGATGAAGGAAGCCTTAGATGTACTAGTTGACCGTCTCGCAGGTCGGCAACAACTTGATGAGGAAGAAGTAGGTTCTCGTTCTTTAGGCTACCAGGCCAAGTCTAACTTGTAAATAGAGGACGTAATTGTTGAGGAATACAATGAGGACCATGTACGGAATCGAAACTGCCAAGAAAAGAGAGATATGAAGCAAGAACTAGGCAATTTTGTGTGTATTTTGGTGTCCCCTTCTTGAAGTTTCAATTCCGATCAATTTCTTGTTAGGTAAAAATGTTAATCTGAACATCAGAAAATTTCATCAAGAAGACACAATTTGGTTTCTAATTGGAGAGGAATTAATGCAATCATGCTTTGGAACGAAAAAAAATTATCAATCTGTCTTCTTTCTCAAGTCGGCTCACCGTCATTGGACTTCATTAGGCTTGCCGAAAATGACAGCTTATGTTACATCTGAAATTTCATTTAATTTATGGGCATTGACATTTGGAATCTATCTTTATCCAAGATGAAAATTGGGGAAGTTTCTCAAGTCTTCTTTTTATTTTTTTATTGTGAGGTCATTTGCACTTGACCTGCAGAATGGGGAGTATACGTTACCTCTTCCATATTGTGTAAGCGATTTCGGCCCAAGGTCTTGACTTTACCAACGAAGCTAGCTAGCATTCACAAAGCTTCTCATGCTTTACCATCTGTAATATGTAAGCTAGCTAGCATTCACGTACAGTAACTGATGATTTGACGAGACCTGAGCACATTGAGGCAATTCGTGCTTATATTATTTTCCCCATGGAAAGCTTCACATCAGGCTACTGTCAGCTTTCACCGTGTCTTCTTAAGCTTAAAACAAAAGTTCAGAAAATTGAACTGAGGAACCAATCTGACGAAGAAGAAAGATTGTTGTAATTGGAAACAAAAAGATATCGCGGGCTGGTAGGAGCATTTTTAAGCTCCTTTGGCTGTTCAACCAACCAGCTAGGGAAGCTGAACAATAGTTAGAGACTGAAGCTTTCGAAGGCTAGGTGGCATAGTTTTAAATACGGATAGTTTTAAATTAATAGCAAAATTGTAAATCCATCGTGCCTGCAATTTTGGATCGTAATTTATCGTGTTATTAAAATAACAATCACAATAATTAATATTATAAATATATTAATAATTGTTAACAAATTTATTCTAATTTATATATTTTTAATAATTTTATTCATTAAGCATTATAATAATATTTTTAATGATTTAATATCATACATACAACAATATTTGAATTTATTATTAAAAAAATTTATAATATTTCTAATAATTTAATACATAAAAACTTTTAAAAAATATATTACAACTTCAAGATACATATTATAAAATATTTTTTTAAAAAAGTTATTAAGAGTCATAATAATAGTTATTGATGTTGAGATTCTTGTCTATTAAAATTAGAATTATAATTATATTGTCCTTCCAAATTCAATCCTCCAAACAATGAAGTAGCCATAGATGATTCAATGTTCTTGATGATAATCTAGTTTGATTCACCATTTCTTCCTAGTTAATTATCGTTCTTAATCTTGGAATAAATGTTGAAAAACGGGTATTATGGGCTTTTCCTTTTCTTTTCTTTTCTTTTTTTAAAATCTTATGGGTGTAATGATCCAATTAAATCAAAAGTCATATGACAATTTAAAATTAAAGATATTTGATCTTGTGGGCCAAGTTGTTGATCTTTTGACAGTCAATCCGATCTAAAAACACATACCTTCCAAGTCACATAATCTATTTTTTATATGTAAATAAGTGAAAAATTAGAATCATTTAGCAAATAGTAACCTGTATAACTTATCAAATGACATAGTTTTTGTGTGACCTTGATGATAAATTCATTCAATTTCGTAATGTTATTGTCACGCTATATATATATATATATTAGATGCATGATATTATTTGGATTACTATATGGATTTTAATGCTAATATTCCAAATATATATATATATAGTTTAAGCAACATTAAGGAAGCAACGCGATGAGAGAAAGTACAAAGTGAAAGAACGTTTTCCCTCGGAAAGAAGAATCAAGAAGGATTTTTTATGGTCTTTTTCAACACAATCGAGGAGGTTCAGGTATAGTTCTTTTATCTGATGAAGAAGTTAAAAAAAGCTTAGGGAGCCCATGGAGCAACCTATGAAAGTAAAATTCCAGAATTAAGCAGTAAGTTACATATTCTTTCTAGCACTTCATACTCGTCTTCTTCGATGATTGAGTCATTGACATTCAATCTGTTTGGTTTACTCTGCCTTTCCATTGACAGAATATTCATCATATTTATGGTTACTCGATCATGACTGAAGTTTGAGTAAAGGCATTGTAAAAAGTGATTATAATCATAATTTTAAATTACAAACTGTTAAAAAACAGCTGGAGTCGAGTCCATGTCATGAATCACGATTTATTATAATGTTAAAATAATAATAATAAAATGCTCTAAAATCATTAGATAACGATGGTAAAGCCTTGAAAATAGTCGCAAATGGACTTGAAAATCGTTGTAAAAAAATTGGTAGCTTGCAATATCAGAACGATGTGTGTCTCCAAATATTTCTTGGCCGTGGTCAGTCATCTTCTGTCATGAAATGACAAAAAAAAAAAATCCCATTTAGTCAAAGTTATCGTAAAAGAAAGAAGTACACATGGGCATACCTGTCCAATAAGCATACACACGTGGCAATACGTTGTTAATACACGTCAGCATCACCTATAAAAGTAAACGGAAAAGTAGAAGAAGTCATGATCCATGAAAGTACTAGAGTTGCCTACTAAGTGTTTGTTGAAATGCAAAATTCATGTACCCGTCTCCCAATTTCTTTAACCAATTCAATCTTTCCCAGTTCATGAAACAAAGAACAAAGGAAATTTGAGTGATAATATCAACATGAAATTGAGTTTAAATTCCCTTAAGTAGATTGAAGATACAAAGAATACGAACAATACTGACCTCAAAGAAAGACACCAAAAAAAGAAAAAAAATTTTAAAAAATTGAATGCAGGTGAAATTTTTTTTATCATTTTTGTTGGATCCTGATATAATTTTATGTCTCTCTCTTCTATACGAATTCATAGAGTAATTATTATACATAGCATTGTTTTCTCTTTGAGTATTATAAAATTTCTCAAAAGAAAACTAGTAATTCACCCTTTCTTCCTTGTTAATTATCGTCTTTTTCTTTAATAAAATTGTTAATTATCATTCTTTATCATGGAATAAGTGTTGAAATACGGGTAATATGGGCTTTTTCAAAAAAAAAAAAAACCTTCTGGGCTTAATGATCCAACCAAATCAAAACTTGGTTTTTAAAATTATTATGCTAATCTGATGCATATAAATTTTCCAAAACTCTGATTCTTGACATATCTATAATTTTCTGTTAAAACATAGCTTTTTTTCGTCATTCATTCATGGAGACAGTTATAAAGGATAAAGGATTAAAACTTTCGGTCACTATTGCTATTGACTTAAATGTGTCTAAAATGCCAAATCTTTATTATCCGTAACGGTTAACTGGATTGATCGTTACTTAGAATGCCAAAACGATATTATTTTAGCATTCCTTTGTTAATTATGTTTTTGTTAAAAAAATATTTTTAACCCTCCTAATCTTTAAATTTTTTTTTAAAAAAATTCCTTATAAAATTTTATAAATTACATAAAAAAAACATTTTATAAATATTTTTAACCCCCTAATTTCAAAAAAAAAAATTTAAATTATAAAATGTTATTGTAAAAAAACAATATTTAACAATACACAATTTCAGGCCTTAAAAAAAATATTTTATAAGTTAAAATAAGCATAATTAAGGGTTGATCCTCCTAATTTTATAAATTATAAAAAAATATTTTTTATAAAATGTTTATAATATTTATAAAAAAAAGGTTAAAAAAATTTCAAAATTAAGGGGGTTAAAAATATTTATAAAATTATATTTTTATATAATTTATAATATTTTATAAGAATTTTTTTTTAAAAAAAGTTCAAGATTAGGAGGTTAAAAATATTTTTAAAATATATAAAAAACATAATTAAAGCAAAATGCAAAAACAGCATCATTTTAATATTCTAAGTAATGATCAACACAAGTGACCGTTACACATAACAAAGATTAGGCAATTTGGATCACATTTGCTCAATTTTCAATATTTTAGGATTCAAATTATGCGATTTGATACTATAGACTTAAAATTACTCAATTGCAATAGAATGAAGATAAAATTTATCATTAAATTGTAAGTAAACTCGGTAGATAAATTTAGTATTCGCTCTAGGTTTTTTTTTTTTTTTTCTTCAAGTTTTCTTCCTTTTTAGGTGCATTATTTTTTTCCCTATATGTTTCAAAATTTTCTCTTTTCTCTTAGTTTTCAAAATTTATTGTTAGTTTCGGAAATTTTTTTGTCATAAAAGATAATGCAAGGACATTATTAACGAATATACATAAATATATTAGGAATTCAATTGATTTAAAAGCTTCAAAAATACAACTGTGTAAATAAATATAGATAGATGGTTGATTTTGCCCCAAATTGTTTCATTTTATAATTATAATTATGCTATTAAATATGATCAAAGAGTTATATTCTAAATGTAGGATTTAAAGATAAACTCTTTACATCCGTACGGTCCATCCAAATAAATTTATTAAATTTTATTGCATATTGGGCCACAAAGCTCGAATCCATAAAGACAGCTTATCGAAGAATTTCAATGTTTTTTTAAATATTTCCTTGCGTAGGTTTTATTTTAGTTAAGACACGTGTATAATACTCTTAATTTTACAAAAAAAATCTTGACCATGGATTTTCTTTTGATCCAACGGCTAACATTCACTAATATTTAACAATTAGCTCTTCTTAATTATATTTCCATTTCTATGATTTTGTAATTACGATGTAAAACTAGTCGTGCATGCTATGCTTTCAGGTAGTAACGTTTGTTTTTCTGTACGTTGTGTTTTGAGGTTTGTTTTCTTTTTTTATTATGAATTTTTATTTCGGGGTGATGTAATGTTAATTTTTACATTTGGTTTGTTTTCCTTTTTCATCATGTACTTATTTTTTTGGTGGTGCGAAATAATATAATAATATTAGGATCAAATAGAATTGTGGGCTTTAATTTCTATAACAATAAAAAAGTTGAATATAAAATATATTTATAGTAAAAATTGACAAATATCGAACCTATTATTAGATAATTATTAGCCATTGAATTGATGATTAAGAATTTTTTTTAGAAATTGAACTGATAATTTAGTCTAAAAAATAATTTTATGAATTATTAGTTATCATTTGTAGATAATTATTTATTTGATTTCAAAAGATTAATGTTGGAATAATTTGTAACTAATTATTCACTACAATTACCAATAAAATTTTACAACGGATTAAAATTAAAAATTATTGATTTAGTTGTAAATGAATAGTGCTGAAAAAATAATGTATTTATTAATTAATTTTAATTTTTTTATAAAAAATTAGTCTTGTAATGATCATTTTTAATAATTTAATTATAGTGTAAGTGGTGTTTAAGATAATAATAAAAAAAGATAAATTATTAAAATATTTATTATAAAAATAATTTTAAGGTGTAAAAATGGTTTTTAAGAATATTTAATATATTTATAAATTAAAAAATCTAATATTAGTAGAAATAAAGAAAAATAATTAAATAATAATTAATAAGAAATAATTAAAAATTAATTTGATATATTTTAAATAAAAAGAAGATAGAGAAAAAAATAGTTAAAATATATCAAGAGAGCTAAGTAACACGAAAGTGAAACGACTCGTAAAAAGAAAAATATTTTTTTCTTTTAAAGCTGGGAAAACATTTAAAAAAAATATCCTATCATTTTTTGTTAACTGAAAATT